GAGCATTTGCAACCTATTGGCACCATTTTAGAGTGAATTGCCAAAAGTCAGATTTTTTCAGAAATTGTGACCCCGGGGCTTAGCGATTTTTTCAAAAAAATCTTTTTCTGCCGGTTAAGTTGTCAAGGTCTGATTTCTTGTCCTGTAATAAAAAGCCTTCTGTTTCGACCGCCAAACCTTTGAGGGGAGCATTTGCAACCGTTTGGCACCATTTTTGAGTGAATTGCCAAAAGTCAGATATTTGATGGAATTGTGACCCCAGGGATTAGCGATTTTTTCAAAAAAATCTTTTTCTGCCGGTTAAGTTTTCGAGGGTTGATTTGTTTTACTCTGATAAAAAGTCTTCTCTTTCGACCGCCAAACCTCTCAGGGGAGCATTTGCAACCTATTGGCACCATTTTAGAGTGAATTGCCAAAAGTCTGATTTTTGATGGAATTGTGACCCGGGGCTTAGCGATTTTTTCAAAAAATCTTTTCTGCCGGTTAAGTTGTCAAGGTCTGATTTCTCGTCCTGTAATAAAAGCCTTCTGTTTCGACCGCCAAACCTTTGTGGGGAGCTTTTGCAACCGTTTGGCACCATTTTTGAGTGAATTGCCAAAAGTCAGATTTTTGATGGAATTGTGCCCCCGGGGCTTAGGGATTTTTTCAAAAAAATCTTTTTCTGCCGGTGAAATTGTCGAGGTCTGCTTTCTCGTCCTGTGATAAAAGCCTTCTGTTTCGACCGCCAAAGCTCTCAGGGGAGCATTTGCAACCGTTTGGAAACATTTTTGAGTGAATTGCCAAAAGTCAGATTTTTGATGGAATTGTGACCCCGGGGGCTTAGGGATTTTTTCAAAAAAATCTTTTTCTGCCGGTGAAATTGTCGAGGTCTGCTTTCTCGTCCTGTGATAAAAAGCTTTCTGTTTCGACCGCCAAACCTCTGAGGGGAGCATTTGCAACCGATTGGCACCATTTTAGAGTGAATTGCCGAAAGTCAGATTTTTTCAGAAATTGTGACCCCGGGGCTTAGCGATTTTTTCAAAAACATCTTTTTCTGCCGGTTAAGTTGTCAAGGTCTGATTTCTCGTCCTGTGATAAAAAGCCTTCTGTTTCGACTGCCAAACCTTTGAGGGGAGCAGTTGCAACCGTTTGGCACCATTTTTGAGTGAATTGCCAAAAGTCAGATTTTTGATGGAAGTGTGACCCCGGGCGTAGCGATTTTTTCAAAAAATCTTTTCTGCCGGTTAAGTTGTCGAGGGCTGATTTTTTTGGCTGTGATAAAAGCCTTCTGTTTCGACCGCCAAAGCTCTCAGGGGAGCATTTGCAACCGCTTGGCACCATTTTTGAGCGAATTGCCAAAAGTCAGATTTTTCAGAAATTGTGACCCCGGGCTTAGCGATTTTTTCAAAAAATCTTTTTCTGCCGGTTAAGTTTTCGAGGGCTGATTTCTCGTCCTGTGATAAAAAGCCTTCTGTTTCGACCGCCAAACCTCTCAGGGGAGCATTTGCAACCGATTGGGACCATTTTAAAGTGAATTGCTGAAAGTCAGATTTTTTCAGAAATTGTGACCCCGGGGCTTAGGATTTTTTTGAAAAATCTTTTTCTGCCGGTTAAGTTTTCGAGGGTGATTTCTTTGCTGTGATAAAAGCCTTCGGTTTCCACCGCCAAACCTCTGAGGGGATCATTTGCAACCGATTGGCACCATTTTTGAGTGAATTGCCAAAAGTCAGATTTTTGATGGAATTGTGACCCGGGGCTTAGGGATTCTTTCAATAAATACTTTGTCTGCCGGTTAATTTGTCGAGGGGTGATTTCTTTGGCTGTGACAAAAAGCCTTCTGTTTCGACCGCCAAACCTCTCAGGGGAGCATTTGCAACCTATTGGCACCATTTTTGAGTGAATTGCCAAAAGTCAGATTTTTGATGGAATTGTGACCCCGGGGCTTAGGGATTTTTTCAAAAAAATCTTTTTCTGCCGGTGAAATTGTCGAGGTCTGCTTTCTCGTCCTGTGATAAAAAGCTTTCTGTTTCGACCGCCAAACCTCTGAGGGGAGCATTTGCAACCGATTGGCACCATTTTAGAGTGAATTGCCGAAAGTCAGATTTTTTCAGAAATTGTGACCCCGGGGCTTAGCGATTTTTTCAAAAACATCTTTTTCTGCCGGTTAAGTTGTCAAGGTCTGATTTCTCGTCCTGTTATAAAAAGCCTTCTGTTTCGACTGCCAAACCTTTGAGGGGAGCATTTGCAACCGTTTGGCACCATTTTTGAGTGAATTGCCAAAAGTCAGATTTTTGATGGAATTGTGACCCCGGGGCTTAAGGATTTTTTCAAAAAATCTTTTCTGCCGGTTAAGTTTTTGAGGGCTGATTTCTTTGGCTGTGATAAAAAGCCTTCTGTTTCGACCGCCAAACCTCTCAGGGGAGCATTTGCAACCCATTGGGACCATTTTAGAGTGAATTTCTGAAAGTCAGATTTTTTCAGAAATTGTGACCCCGGGGCTTAGCTTTTTTTTCAAAAAAATCTTTTTCTGCCGGTTAAGTTTTCGAGGGCTGATTTCTTTTGCTGTGATAAAAAGCCTTCTGTTTCCACCGCCAAACCTCTGAAGGGGAGCATTTGCAACCGTTTGGCACCATTTTTGAGTGAATTGCCGAAAGTCAGATTTTTTCAGAAATTGTGACCTCAGGGCTTAGCGATTTTTTCAAAAAATCTTTTTATGCCTGTTAAGTTTACGAGGGCTGAGTTCTCGTCCTGGGATAAAAAGCCTTCTGTTTCGACCGCCAAACCCCTCAGGGGAGCATTTGCAACCGATTGGCACCCTGATAGAGTGTATGGCCGTATGTCAGATTTTTCAGAAATTGTGACCCCGGGGCTTAGCGATTTTTTCAAAAAAATCTTTTTCTGCCGGTTAAGTTGTCAAGGTCTGATTTCTCGTCCTGTGATAAAACGCCTTCTGTTTCGACCGCCAAACCTTTGAGGGGAGCATTTGCAACCGTTTGGCACCATTTTTGAGTGAATTGCCAAAAGTCAGATTTTTGATGGAATTGTGACCCGGGGCTTAGGGATTTTTTCAAAAAACTTTTCTGCCGGTTAAGTTGTCGAGGGCTGATTTCTTTGGCTGTGACAAAAGCCTTCTGTTTCGACCGCCAAACCTCTCAGGGGAGCATTTGCAACCTATTGGCACCATTTTAGAGTGAATTGCCAAAAGTCAGATTTTTCAGAAATTGTGACCCCGGGGCTTAGCGATTTTTTCAAAAAAATCTTTTTCTGCCGGTTAAGTTGTCAAGGTCTGATTTCTTGTCCTGTAATAAAAAGCCTTCTGTTTCGACCGCCAAACCTTTGAGGGGAGCATTTGCAACCGTTTGGCACCATTTTTGAGTGAATTGCCAAAAGTCAGATATTTGATGGAATTGTGACCCCAGGGATTAGCGATTTTTTCAAAAAAATCTTTTTCTGCCGGTTAAGTTTTCGAGGGTTGATTTCTTTTACTCTGATAAAAAGTCTTCTCTTTCGACCGCCAAACCTCTCAGGGGAGCATTTGCAACCTATTGGCACCATTTTAGAGTGAATTGCCAAAAGTCTGATTTTTGATGGAATTGTGACCCCGGGGCTTAGCGATTTTTTCAAAAAAATCTTTTCTGCCGGTTAAGTTGTCAAGGTCTGATTTCTAGTCCTGTAATAAAAAGTCTTCTGTTTCGACCGCCAAACCTTTGTGGGGAGCATTTGCAACCGTTTGGCACCATTTTTGAGTGAATTGCCAAAAGTCAGATTTTTGATGGAATTGTGCCCCCGGGGCTTAGGGATTTTTTCAAAAAAATCTTTTTCTGCCGGTGAAATTGTCGAGGTCTGCTTTCTCCTCCTGTGATAAAAACCCTCTGTTTCGATCGCCAAAGCTCTCAGGGGAGCATTTGCAACCGTTTGGCACCATTTTTGAGTGAATTGCCAAAAGTCAGATTTTTGATGGAATTGTGACCCCGGGGCTTAGGGATTTTTCAAAAAATCTTTTCTGCCGGTGAAATTGTCGAGGTCTGCTTTCTCGTCCTGTGATAAAAAGCCTTCTGTTTCGACCGCCAAACCTCTGAGGGGAGCATTTGCAACCGATTGGCACCATTTTAGAGTGAATTGCCGAAAGTCAGATTTTTTCAGAAATTGTGACCGGGGCTTAGCGATTTTTTCAAAAACATCTTTTTCTGCCGGTTAAGTTGTCAAGGTCTGATTTCTCGTCCTGTGATAAAAGCCTTCTGTTTCGATCGCCAAACCTTTGAGGGGAGCAGTTGCAACCGTTTGGCACCATTTTTGAGTGAATTGCCAAAAGTCAGATTTTTGATGGAATTGTGACCCCGGGGCGTAGCGATTTTTTCAAAAAAATCTTTTTCTGCCGGTTAAGTTGTCGAGGGCTGATTTTTTTGGCTGTGATAAAAAGCCTTCTGTTTCGACCGCCAAAGCTCTCAGGGGAGCATTTGCAACCGCTTGGCACCATTTTTGAGCGAATTGCCAAAAGTCAGATATTTTCAGAACTTGTGACCCCGGGGCTGAGCGATTTTTTCAAAAAATCTTTTTCTGCCGGTTAAGTTTTCGAGGGCTGATTTCTCGTCCTGTGATAAAAAGCCTTCTGTTTCGACCGCCAAACCTCTCAGGGGAGCATTTGCAACCGATTGGGACCATTTTAAAGTGAATTGCTGAAAGTCAGATTTTTTCAGAAATTGTGACCCCGGGGCTTAGCGATTTTTTCAAAAAAATCTTTTTCTGCCGGTTAAGTTTTCGAGGGGTGATTTCTTTTGCTGTGATAAAAAGCCTTCGGTTTCCACCGCCAAACCTCTGAGGGGATCATTTGCAACCGATTGGCACCATTTTTGAGTGAATTGCCAAAAGTCAGATTTTTGATGGAATTGTGACCCCGGGGCTTAGGGATTTTTTCAAAAAAAACTTTTTCTGCCGGTTAAGTTGTCGAGGGCTGATTTCTTTGGCTGTGACAAAAAGCCTTCTGTTTCGACCGCCAAACCTCTCAGGGGAGCATTTGCAACCTATTGGCACCATTTTAGAGTGAATTGCCAAAAGTCAGATTTTTCAGAAATTGTGACCCCGGGGCTTAGCGATTTTTTCAAAAAATCTTTTCTGCCGGTTAAGTTGTCAAGGTCTGATTTCTTGTCCTGTAATAAAAGCCTTCTGTTTCGACCGCCAAACCTGTGAGGGGAGCATTTGCAACCGTTTGGCACCGTTTTTGAGGGAAATGCCCGAAGTAAGATATTTGAAGGAATTGTGACCCCAGGGATTAGCGATTTTTCAAAAAATCTTTTCTGCCGGTTAAGTTTTCGAGGGTTGATTTCTTTTACTCTGATAAAAAGTCTTCTCTTTCGACCGCCAAACCTCTCAGGGGAGCATTTGCGACCGATTGGCACCATTTTTGAGTGAATTGCCGAAAGTCAGATTTTTTCAGAAATTGTGACCCCGGGGCTTAGCGATTTTTTCAAAAAAATCTTTTTCTGCCGGTTAATTTTTCGAGGGCTGATTTCTCGTCCTGTGATAAAAAGCCTTCTGTTTCGACCGCCAAACCCCTCAGGGGAGCATTTGCAACCGTTTGGCACCATTTTTGAGTGAATTGCCAAAAGTCAGATTTTAGATGGAATTGTTACACCTGTGCTGAGCGATTTTTTCAAAAAAATCTTTTTCTGCCGGTTAAGTTGTCAAGGTCTGATTTCTCGTCCTGTAATAAAAAGCCTTCTGTTTCGACCGCCAAACCTTTGTGGGGAGCATTTGCAACCGTTTGGCACCATTTTTGAGTGAATTGCCAAAAGTCAGATTTTTGATGGAATTGTGACCCCGGGGCTTAGGGATTTCTTCAAAAAAATCTTTTTCTGCCGGTGAAATTGTCGAGGTCTGCTTTCTCGTCCTGTCATAAAAAGCCTTCTGTTTCGACTGCCAAAGCTCTCAGGGGAGCATTTGCAACCGTTTGGCACCATTTTTGAGTGAATTGCCAAAAGTAAGATTTTTGATGGAATTGTGACCCCGGGCTTAGGGATTTTTCAAAAAATCTTTTTCTGCCGGTGAAATTGTCGAGGTCTGCTTTCTCGTCCTGTGATAAAAGCTTTCTGTTTCGACCGCCAAACCTCTGAGGGGAGCATTTGCAACCGATTGGCACCATTTTAGAGTGAATTGCCGAAAGTCAGATTTTTTCAGAAATTGTGACCCCGGGCTTAGCGATTTTTTCAAAAACATCTTTTTCTGCCGGTTAAGTTGTCAAGGTCTGATTTCTCGTCCTGTGATAAAAAGCCTTCTGTTTCGACTGCCAAACCTTTGAGGGGAGCATTTGCAACCGTTTGGCACCATTTTTGAGTGAATTGCCAAAAGTCAGATTTTTGATGGAATTGTGACCCCGGGGCTTAAGGATTTTTTCAAAAAAATCTTTTTCTGCCGGTTAAGTTGTCGAGGGCTGATTTCTTTGGCTGTGATAAAAAGCCTTCTGTTTCGACCGCCAAAGCTCTCAGGGGAGCATTTGCAACCGATTGGGACCATTTTAAAGTGAATTGCTGAAAGTCAGATTTTTTCAGAAATTGTGACCTCGGGCTTAGGGATTTCTTCAAATAAATCTTATTCTGCCGTTTAAGTTTTCGAGGGGTGATTTCTTTTGCTGTGATAAAAAGCCTTCGGTTTCCACCGCCAAACCTCTGAGGGGATCATTTGCAACCGATTGGCACCATTTTTGAGTGAATTGCCGAAAGTCAGATTTTTTCAGAAATTGTGACCCCGGGGCTTAGCGATTTTTTCAAAAAAATCTTTTTCTGCCGGTTAATTTTTCGAGGGCTGATTTCTCGTCCTCTGATAAAAAGCCTTCTGTCTCGACCGCCAAACCCCTCAGGGGAGCATTTGCAACCGTTTGGCACCATTTTTGAGGGAATTGCCAAAAGTCAGATTTTTGATGGAATTGTGACCCCGGGGCTTAGCGATTTTTTCAAAAAAATCTTTTTCTGCCGGTTAAGTTGTCAAGGTCTGATTTCTCGTCCTGTAATAAAAAGCCTTCTGTTTCGACCACCAAACCTTTGTGGGGAGCATTTGCAACCGTTTGGCACCATTTTTGAGTGAATTGCCAAAAGTCAGATTTTTGATGGAATTGTGACCCTGGGCTTAGGGATTTTTTCAAAAAAATCTTTTTCTGCCGGTGAAATTGTCGAGGTCTGCTTTCTCATCCTGTGATAAAAGCCTTCTGTTTCGACCGCCAAAGCTCTCAGGGGAGCATTTGCAACCGTTTGGCACCATTTTTGAGTGAATTGCCAAAAGTCAGATTTTTCAGAAATTGTGACCTCGGGGCTTAGCGATTTTTTCAAAAAATCTTTTTCTGCCGGTTAAGTTTTCGAGGGCTGATTTCTCGTCCTGTGATAAAAGCCTTCTGTTTCGACCGCCAAACCTCTCAGGGGAGCATTTGCAACCGATTGGGACCATTTTAAAGTGAATTGCTGAAAGTCAGATTTTTCAGAAATTGTGACCCAGGGCTTAGCGATTTTTTCAAAAAAATCTTTTTCTGCCGGTTAAGTTTTCGAGGGGTGATTTCTTTTGCTGTGATAAAAAGCCTTCGGTTTCCACCGCCAAACCTCTGAGGGGATCATTTGCAACCGATTGGCACCATTTTTGAGTGAATTGCCAAAAGTCAGATTTTTGATGGAATTGTGACCCCGGGGCTTAGCGATTTTTTCAAAAAAATATTTTTCTGCCGGTTAAGTTGTCAAGGTCTGATTTCTTGTCCTGTAATAAAAAGCCTTCTGTTTCGACCGCCAAACCTTTGAGGGGAGCATTTGCAACCGTTTGGCACCATTTTTGAGGGAATTGCCAAAAGTCAGATATTTGATGGAATTGTGACCCCAGGGATTAGCGATTTTTTCAAAAAAATCTTTTTCTGCCGGTTAAGTTTTCGAGGGTTGATTTCTTTTACTCTGATAAAAGTCTCTCTTTCGACCGCCAAACCTCTCAGGGGAGCATTTGCGACCGATTGGCACCATTTTTGAGTGAATTGCCGAAAGTCAGATTTTTTCAGAAATTGTGACCTCGGGCTTAGCGATTTTTTCAAAAAATCTTTTCTGCCGGTTAATTTTTCGAGGGCTGATTTCTCGTCCTGTGATAAAAGCCTTCTGTCTCGACCGCCAAACCCTCAGGGGAGCATTTGCAACCCTTTGGCACCATTTTTGAGGGAATTGCCAAAAGTCAGATTTTTGATGGAATTGTGACCCCGGGGCTTAGGGATTTTTTCAAAAAAATCTTTTTCTGCCGGTTAAGTTGTCAAGGTCTGATTTCTCGTCCTGTAATAAAAAGCCTTCTGTTTCGACCGCCAAACCTTTGTGGGGAGCATTTGCAACCGTTTGGCTCCATTTTTGAGTGAATTGCCAAAAGTCAGATTTTTGATGGAATTGTGACCCCGGGGCTTAGGGATTTCTTCAAAAAATTTTTCTGCCGGTTAAATTGTCGAGGTCTGCTTTCTCGTCCTGTCATAAAAAGCCTTCTGTTTCGACCGCCAAAGCTCTCAGGGGAGCATTTGCAACCGTTTGGCACCATTTTTGAGTGAATTGCCAAAAGTCAGATTTTTGATGGAATTGTGACCCCGGGGCTTAGGGATTTTTTCAAAAAAATCTTTTTCTGCCGGTGAAATTGTCGAGGTCTGCTTTCTCGTCCTGTGATAAAAAGCTTTCTGTTTCGACCGCCAAACCTCTGAGGGGAGCATTTGCAACCGATTGGCACCATTTTAGAGTGAATTGCCGAAAGTCAGATTTTTCAGAAATTGTGACCCCGGGCTTAGCGATTTTTTCAAAAACATCTTTTCTGCCGGTTAAGTTGTCAAGGTCTGATTTCTCGTCCTGTGATAAAAAGCCTTCTGTTTCGACTGCCAAACCTTTGAGGGGAGCATTTGCAACCGTTTGGCACCATTTTTGAGTGAATTGCCAAAAGTCAGATTTTTGATGGAATTGTGACCCCGGGCTTAAGGATTTTTTCAAAAAATCTTTTCTGCCGGTTAAGTTGTCGAGGGCTGATTTCTTTGGCTGTGATAAAAGCCTTCTGTTTCGACCGCCAAACCTCTCAGGGGAGCATTTGCAACCGATTGGGACCATTTTAAAGTGAATTGCTGAAAGTCAGATTTTTCAGAAATTGTGACCCCGGGCTTAGCGATTTTTTCAAAAAATCTTTTCTGCCGGTTAAGTTTTCGAGGGTGATTTCTTTTGCTGTGATAAAAGCCTTCGGTTTCCACCGCCAAACCTCTGAGGGGATCATTTGCAACCGATTGGCACCATTTTTGAGTGAATAGCCGAAACTCAGAATTTTCAGAAATTGTGACCCGGGGCTTAGCGATTTTTTCAAAAAATCTTTTTCTGCCGGTTAATTTTCCGAGGGCTGATTTCTCGTCCTCTGATAAAAAGCCTTCTGTCTCGACCGCCAAACCCCTCAGGGGAGCATTTGCAACCGTTTGGCACCATTTTTGAGGGAATTGCCAAAAGTCAGATTTTTGATGGATTTGTGACCTGGGCTTAGCGATTTTTTCAAAAAATCTTTTCTGCCGGTTAAGTTGTCAAGGTCTGATTTCTCGTCCTGTAATAAAAGCCTTCTGTTTCGACCACCAAACCTTTGTGGGGAGCATTTGCAACCGTTTGGCACCATTTTTGAGTGAATTGCCAAAAGTCAGATTTTTGATGGAATTGTGATCCCGGGGCTTAGGGATTTTTTCAAAAAAATCTTTTTCTGCCGGTGAAATTGTCGAGGTCTGCTTTCTCGTCCTGTGATAAAAAGCCTTCTGTTTCGACCGCCAAAGCTCTCAGGGGAGCATTTGCAACCGTTTGGCACCATTTTTGAGTGAATTGCCAAAAGTCAGATTTTTGATGGAATTGTGACCCCGGGGTTTAGGGATTTTTTCAAAAAATCTTTTCTGCCGGTGAAATTGTCGAGGTCTGCTTTCTCGTCCTGTGATAAAAGCTTCTGTTTCGACCGCCAAACCTCTGAGGGGAGCATTTGCAACCGATTGGCACCATTTTAGAGTGAATTGCCGAAAGTCAGATTTTTTCAGAAATTGTGACCCCGGGGCTTAGGGATTTTTTCAAAAAAATATTTTTCTGCCGGTTAAGTTGTCGAGGGCTGATTTCTTTTGCTGTGATAAAAAGCCTTCTGTTTCGACCGCCAAACCTCTCAGGGGAGCATTTGCAACCGATTGGGACCATTTTAGAGTGAATTGCTGAAAGTCAGATTTTTGATGGAATTGTGACCCCGGAGCTTAGGGATTCTTTCAAAAAAATCTTTTTCTGCCGGGGAAATTGTGGGGGGCTGCTTTCTCGTCCTGTGATAAAAAGCTTTCTGTTTCGACCGCCAAACCTCTGAGGGGAGCATTTGCAACCGTTTGGCACCATTTTTGAGTGAATTGCCAAAAGTCAGA